AGAGAGAGAGAGAGAGAGAGAGAGAGAGAGAGAGAGACAGAGAGAGAGACAGAGAGAGAGAGACAGACGGAGAGAGGGAGAGGAGAGAGAGACAGAGAGAGAGAGAGAGACAGAGAGAGAGAGAGACAGACGGAGAGAGGAGACAGAGAGAGAGACGGAGAGGGAGAGAGAGAGACAGAGAGAGAGACAGAAGAGAGAGAGAGAGAGAGACAGACGGAGAGAGAGAGACAGAGAGAGAGAGACAGAGGAGAGAGAGGGAGAGAGAGAGACGGAGAAGAGAGACAGAAAGAGAGACAGAGAGAGAGAGAGACAGACGAGAGAGAGACAGAGAGAGAGACGGAGAGGGAGAGAGAGGACAGAGAGAGAGAGACAGAGAGAGAGAGAGAGAGAGAGAGAGAGACAGACGGAGAGAGAGAGACAGAGAGAGAGAGACAGAGAGAGAGAGAGAGAGGAGAGAGAGAGACGGAGAGAGGGACAGAAAGAGAGACAGGGAGAGAGGAGAGAGAGAGAGAGACAGAGAGAGAGAGAGAGAGAGAGAGCAGAGAGAGAGAGAGAGAGAGACGAGAGAGAAAGAGGAGAGGAGACAGAGAGAGAGAAGAGAGAGAGAGAGAGAGACAGAGAGGAGAGAGAGAGACAGAGACAGAGAGAGAGACAGCGAGAGAGACAGAGAGAGAGAACAGAGACAGAGAGAGAGAGAGAGAGACAGAGAGGAGACAGAGAGAGAGAGAGAGAGAGAGACAGAGAGAGAGAGAGAGAGAGAGAGAGAACAGAGGAGAGACAGAGAGAGAGACAGAGAGAGAGAGAGAGAGACAGAGAGAGACAGAGAGAGAGAGAGAGAGACAGAGAGAGAGACAGAGAGAGACAGAGAGAGAGAGAGAGAGAGAGAGACAGAGAGAGAAGAGAGAGAGAGAGAGAGAGACAGAGAGAGAGGGAAAGAGAGACAGAGAGAGAGAGAGACAGAGAGAGAGAGAGAAGAGAGAGAGAGAGAGACAGAGAGAGAAGAGAGAGAGACAGAGAGAGAGAGAGAGAGAGAGACAGAGAGAGAGACGAGAGAGAGGAGAGGAGACAGAGAGGAGAGAGAGAGAGAGAGAGACAGAGAGAGAGACAGAGAGAGAGAAGAGAGAGAGAGAGAGAGAGACAGAGAGAGAGACAGAGAGAGAGAGAGAGAGACAGAGAGAGAGACAGAGAGAGACAGAGAGAGAGAGAGAGAGAGAGAGAGAGAGAGAGAGAAGAGAGAGAGAGAGAGACAGAGAGAGAGACAGAAGAGAGAGAGAGAGAGAGACAGAGAGAGAACAGAGGAGAGAGAGAGAGAGAGACAGAGAGAGAGAGAGAGAGAGACAGAGAGAGAGAGAGAGAGAGACAGAGAGAGAGACAGAGAGAGAGAGAGAGAGAGAGACAGAGAGAGAGAGAGAGAGAGACAGAGAGAGAGAGAGAGAGAGACAGACGGAGAGAGAGAGAGAGAGAGAGAGAGAGACAGAGAGAGACAGACGGAGAGAGAGACAGAGAGAGAGAGAGAGAGAGAGAGAGAGAGAGAGAGAGAGACAGAGTGAGAGAGAGAGAGAGAGAGCCTTTTCTTAGCTTAGTGCCACTTCAGCTACTGCAGCACGGATAAGCCCCTCCACTAGAGCGGGTCTACCTGCTGAACGTATCAGGAAGTTGGGTGTTATAAGCTGCTGCAACAAGTTAACACATTTCAGATGTGTGAAAAAAAGTACTTCAGACCAAACAGACTCAGTTAGAAGCTTCAGTAGCTAAGAGGTAAACACACAGTGACTAAAACATCTAATATAAGCTCATAAAGGCTCATTTTAAAACAATAAATGGATTATCTTTCATCGCAGGTTTAGTTGCAGCTAAATCAGCATTTGAGACTAACCAGCCTCAGAATAATAAAACTAAGAACACTAAAATACTCTTTACACTGTTTATGATTGAGACAAAGACCCCTTTAGTATTTTCTTAAAGAGTTTAAACATTTCCCTTCATAAAACAGCCGATTACTTGAACATATAAGTCTTGATTATTTATCCATCATTATGTATATTTTGTTTTTGTCAATGTGGTAGAAAAGAAAATATTTATCTGAAAAAATAAACTTTGTAAAGATTTGCTTTTAATTAAAAAAACTTTGAGATTAAAATCCTCTCGTCCTTTAATCACGACACACAAGAGATGCGTTGTTAAAAAAAAAGTAACTAAGTAACTTTTACTTGAGTACATTTTTAAACTGGTACTTTTACTTGTACTTAAGTAAATTTTCATTAAAGTAACAGTACTTTTACTTGAGTAGAATATATAAGTAGTCTTTATATCTCTGCAAAAACCACTGAGATCAATTAAAAACAATTACAATTTGAAACACAGTGGCTCAAAATCAAATCAAATCCTAAACTCTGGAACAGGAAGTGACTGGTCACACCTTAGACTCCACGTCTTCTGTTTGGTCTGCTCCTATTGGACAAAAACAGCTTCAGTCACAAACGACACAACAACAGAGACACAGCTCAGCACTGAGGAAACTGAAGTAATGATAGTTCAGGGATTTTCAGAATAAAATGAATGTTAGTTTAGGATGGATAGATTTACCTAAAGCCTCTTTGAGTGGAACATCCGCCGGGTCCTGCAGAAAGTTTATTACATTTTTTATTCTGGTCATGACTCAGAGAGATATTTACACAGGATATACTTGATTTCTGTTATATTGATGTGTGGTATGTTTTCTCCCTTTAAGAAACTGCAGGAGCACAAACACAAAAACAACCTTTTTAAAATCTAATGAACCTAGAGACAAGCTGAGAGAAATCATTTGATTGTTCTTTCTTCACCTGGTGCTCTGCAACTCTTCTCTCCAGTTCAGTTTATTGCCATATTCAGTATAAAAACCACATTGGAAAACTTGTGCAAGTGGTAGACAGTACAACTGGACAAATACACAGGACAGTACGTTTAAAAAACTAACAATATAAATAAAAGAAGAAAAACAGAGACAGTAAGGCCACATGAGAAACATACCTGTTCCTCTGCTTGTCCTCGAGCGTCTGGTGGGGTTAATTCTTTAATCAGCTCCTCAGCTACATTGAAACACTCCTCAAAGCGTCCCTCCTGTATCTTGATCTGGACTTTATTACTCAACTGGTCTGTTGCTGATTTCCTCAGCAAGTCCTTCAGGACTTTCCCCTCCTCCTCCAGAATCAGTTTGTCATAGACAAACTTTCTGTTGCAGCATTTACTTCGCACTAACAATTTAAACAGGAATCCCACACAGATGATCCCCAGGAGCAAGCCGCCAGCAATGTCCTGAAAAAGACAAGTATTATTAAGATATACAGATATATCTGAAAGTGTTTTGTTTATCCACAGAGTATCTCAGACTGTGAACGTAGAGTTTAAAAAGTGAAGCCAGTCACTGCATTGAATTCTTATATCAACTTTAAGTGTAATAATGATCAAGTAAACCAGAAGAAAACTCCCTGACCTGTTGTCTAAACTCACCCTGGATTTGTTCTTCAGATCTGAGATCATCGCCCTCTCATCCTTGGTGATGTTTTCTTTAGCTTTACAGGCTAACACAACCTGAGCAACAGAGCCATTGTTTCGACAGCACACATACCAGTCTCCATCGACCAGCACGAACGCCACCCACAGCAGACCCACAAAGACAGCTTCCACCACCTTAGGGGAGGCAAAGATCAGGAAGCAGCAGCACTTCTTGCTGCAGCACTTCTTGCTGCAGCACTTCTTGCTGCAGCCCTCGCTGCAACATAATGTGTACCTGCACACTTTCAGGAACCCTCCGTTGGTCCACAGAGTCAGGAAGAAGACGATAAAGAAAGGCAGGGCCATGTAGGAGTTGCAGTCCAACACCTGTGGTTTACAGGTGCAGGCGAAGTCTCTGTTGAGCAGGATGGTGTACGTGAACATGAGGATGATGGAGACATAGGTGCTGAGATGATTAGAGGCCAGTTTGTTCAGAATGTCCTTCATGTTTGAAAACTAGCTGAGCTCTGAAGCTGCAGCTTCTGCCAGCTGAAGATATAACAACCCCAACCACAAAGGAAGAACGTTCTGTTTACATCGTCACGTGAAACTGAAAGCATCGGTGTTTGTGTCTTCATCTCAGGTCGTTGATTTATGAGAAACAAGCTCATAACAGGAAGAGCGCGGTAACATAAACACCACAAAACATACTCCATACATCACCGCTGAGGAAACAGAATTATTGTTTAAATTCTTTTTGTTAGTCATTCCTCTCAAAGGATCAATAAGTGAGATGTTCAGTACTGTACTGATCAGACATAAAGGAAACATGACAGGGACGGATCTAGAAGGGTGACAAATGCCAAGACGTCGGGCTGCAGGACGATCCGTTTGTCACTCCTCTCTTTACCTCCTCACCATAAGTCTGCCATACATTGAAGCAAGACCACATAGGAGCTCGCAGGCGTATAGCGTTTCTGAGTATCAGCGCTTCTGAGTATCTGCTCGGTTCACGGTCTTCGAGCTGAAACCACATATGAACTTGGTATTACCTATGTCATGAACTTAGCATGACCTGTGTATGCATCACGTTTCTGCAAACGTGCATTGTTGAGGTGTTACAGGATCTTGAAAAAAGAGAGACTTTTTGGCTATAAAAACCCTGGAGAAAATCTGATCGGGGTTCCTTTTTGCTTTGCAAAACGAATCCTTTTGAAATTATTTTTTGATTGAAATCATTCATAACTGGAAGTTCCCCTTAAGGACCCCGTGTACCTCGGAAGGTAAGTTTTGAGCAGTCACACCACGGCCCACTTGTCTTACTGATTTATATTACAAACTTCATACACACCTAACATCCTAGCGGGGGGAGTTCACAGTTATTCCCTCTCTAGGGGGTAGTCTAGAGTCCTGTACCAGGGGTTATCCTTGAATCTAATTATTCTAGAAATGAATGTTAGGCAGATAATCCTGGGGCTGTGATTATAACTTGTTCATCTGTACCTCCTAAGGGTGTTAGAGGAGTAATTTTACATAGCTCCTTCCACTAGGAAAGAGTAGACTAGCAGGTTGGTAAGGAGTGAGCTCTCATTTAGTTCTAGGAAAGAGTAGTCTAGTTAACTAATGTGTGGTGAGCTTCCGTTAGCTATAGTGAAGTTATTCATCCCTTTTTGCATGTCCAGGACATGCTACATGACTTTCCGATGAAGAAGTTTAAAATCTGTGTCCATTGTTGCTTCCAGTGATGGATCGTTCCGTGTTTATAGCGCCCTGTCTTCACCACAACTGCACAGAATCTGCTTTTCTTTCATATGTAAAGTCTTGAACAAAGACATCAAACATGGTGTTGGAGCTACAGTAACGTTTAATAAAGATTTAAATATCAGTCAGATATATTCAGCCTGTTAGAATAAACACAAACAGCTTGTAGAAAAGAGCACAAATAAATAAATGAACACATGTTTATAACATCAGCAGAGTCACTGAAGGACTGAAATTATTAATCAGTCAGTTGCTCTTTTAAAAACAGGAGGCGTGTTCCTGCAGAAGCGCAGGGTCTACCACGCTGCTCTGAAGGGGTAGGTCCAGTGAAAAGTCAGTGGGCGGAGCCTGCAGGCGCTGGCGAGGGAGTCGTCCGCACCTCTGAGGGATGGGCAGTTCAGAGTGGTGAGCAGGAAGAGGAGAGGAGAAGAAGTATGGATGGAGGAGAGCCTGCAGGGGGCAAGGGAGTGCCAATCAATACTCCAATAATCAATCAATAAATCAATCAATCAATAAATCAATTCATTAATCTGATGCTTGTGTTAATAAAAACATTAATAGGGATATAAAATTTAAGTTTTTTCTCCCCTGATTCCAATCCAAAGCATAGTTGTTCTTGTCATTGTTGTCTTAAAAGTGCGGTTCAAACCTGAGCAGCAGAGGTGAAGTTATCCTCATTACAAACTATCAAAACAAGAATCCTACATTTCTCATGATGCAATTAAATAATGGATCCTGGGCATTACCAGCAGAGGCCTGTAGGGGTTCAGAAAAGAGCGCTTAACAAATGTAAGTCTTGTGTTTTGTGGCTCTTTGTCAATAAAACTATGAAACAGAATAAAAAAGAGGGGACCTAAGATTGAACCCTGAGGGACTCCAGTATCGCCTCTTACATGCCGGAAGTCCAATTCCCATTTCCTACCTGTCTGGCTGAGCAGCGCTGTTTGGAGGGATAAACCAGGAACTTGTAGAGCAGGTCGACAGCCTGAGGGGACGTGTCGGGGACGATCTCCTCCAATGGGATCGCAGGATTCTCCTTAAAGGTGATTTTATTGTAATCTGGTAGCGTGACAATCTCCTGGAGGGAAACACGAAGAAGATTATATTTACAAGGCCAGGTGTGTGTGTGTGTGTGTGTGTGTGTGTGTGTGTGTGTGTGTGTGTGTGTGTGTGTGTGTGTGTGAGCTTGTGTATTACAGGCCAGCTCTCCTGTGTCGGGGTCCCCAGCACTCTCAGGACACAACAGAGTTGTTCGATGTCATTTTCTCCAGGAAACAGAGGAGACGAGTTCAGCAGCTCCCCAAAAATACAGCCCACTGCCCTGAAACACACACACACACACACACACACACACACACACACACACACACACACACACACACACACACACACACACACACACACACACACACACACACACACACACACACACACACACACACACACACACACACACACACACACACACACACACACACACACACACACACACACAGATTTCAGACTGCAGCTTCCCCCTGCAGCTCAGTTGTGGGCAGTGCACTCCACTATGAGGCTGTCAAAATGTCAACATTTTTTAACGATACAATCTGTTATTCTAATAAAAAAACTTCAGATCTTCAGTCAATTAGCTAAAATCATCTTTCTAATGATAGTATCAGGATCTCTGTCAGCTGTGTCTGTCAGGCATTAATCCACAATCTGCTCCCCTCTGGGTTTTCTTTCAAACATTACATTCTGTAGAAGAAGAACCCGCGCTCGTCGGTTTAGAGCGTCACATTCAACAACAACTCTTTAGTTTAAACAACAAAACTGGTTTAAACACGTTGGTGACACAGATAACATCTCTGTAGCGTGCAGCAGTAAGAAGTCTTATTCTCACCACAGGTCGACTCCTTCGTCGTACTTTCTGGCTCCGTACAACAACTCTGGAGCTCTGTACCACCTGACACACACACACACACACACACACACACACACACACACACACACACACTAAGTAAGTCTGTCTGTCTCCAATCATTGGCTTTAGTTGCACTATCATAATTATGTTTAAAAGTAAGAGCAGAAACCTGTGTGTGTGTGTGTGTGTGTGTGTGTGTGTGTGTGTGTGTGTGTGTGGTACCTTGTGGCCACCTGGTGGCTGTACAGTCTGTCTCCCCGCTCACTGAACAATCGAGCTAAACCAAAGTCAGCGATTTTAAGATGACCTGAAGAGCTGATCAGGAGGTTAGCTGGCTTCAGGTCCTACACACACACACACACACACACACACACACAACACACACACACACACACACACACACACACACACACACACACACACACACACACACACACACACACACACACACACACACACACACACACACACACACACACACACACACACACACACACACACACACACACACACACACACACACACCTTCATTGATCTTACAACTTAATTGTCCTGAATAGCAACAGAATTGTCACAATACCCACAATGCATCTTGTCATCTTGTACAGATGCAGAGGTGATCGCCCCACAGAGAGAACGAGGGAGAGGCTCTAAACTGACCCGGTGCATGATGTTGTTGTGGTGCAGGAAGGCCACGCCCTTCAGCAGCATCATCATGTAACCTTTGACCTGAGCCGGGGTTAAAGGTCGCTCAGAGTTCCTGATGACCTCAGAGAGGTCAGAGAGCATGAAGTCAAACACCAGGACGAAACCCGTACCGTGAGGGAAGACGTCCTTCAGCTTCACCACCTGAGGGGGAGAGAGAGAGGAGCACTCTATCAGCTTGATCTGGATCAAGTGCAGCTCTTTTTTTATTTACTGTATCACCTGCTGAAGAGAACACCTGCACAGTTGTTCCTGGTACACACAAACATATGCGAGCCAGCTTGGACAGTTTTATGATTTTAGTGCACTGTGTCTCTCCATCAAGCAAAGGCAAAACTTACACTGAGAGCGCCCTCTGCTGGATCAAACCGCTGACTACTTCAGACGGCCTGATGAGCTGATAGACTGAACATTTTTAACTGAAACGGCTCACTACAATTCCAATGTGAACTTTCAAATGAATGTTGGAATTCAGATTAAGAACTGACAGCCCTAGTGACGTCACCCACTGAGGAGTGTGTCACTGAGCAGCAGCCACGGGAATGAACGGGGCTCCGCCTCCAACGCTGTAACCATTCTATAATACATCCATGCCTCTGACACGTACATGCTGGTTGTCCTCGATCTCCTGCAGGGCCTTGATCTCCCTAAGAGCCTGGTTTGGGATGCCGTCCTCCAGCCTCCTCAGAGCCACTTTCTTCAGAGCGACCGTCTCTCCTGTCTGACGGGAAACAGCCAGCCAACATTTCATTTATCAAATAGTGTTGGAGCCAAATGAGGTGTTTGTTTTGTGTGATGCTATTTTCCTTGTGGTTGTGTGTGTTGGCCCTCTACTGGGCACTATGTGTAGCCTGGGCGGAGGCTGTGGTTAAAGCAAGGCTCCAGGTGAGGTGGGACAGGTGACTGAATGGAGGCAACCGTGTCAGCCTGTCGGAGTTAAACGCATCCAACGCGGATTTGTTTGTTTTATTTATAGACAGTGGTTCGTCATATTTTCCTTTATTGATAAGAAGTGTTTAAAAAGAAATGGATTGAAATATCCAAATCAGATCCTCAATGGACTGTGTTCATTTCCTCGAGCTAAGCGTCCGAAAGCTTCCACATTCATCCCTCAAGTGACTTTCTAAACTATATTGGGTTTGTTAAAATTGGTCACTACAAATAGGGAAGATTGTTTTTGTAAAGAATCAACATTGAAGAAGATTTTGGGAAACTGAGATGTAATATTTGATATTTTGTATTATTATTTGTGGAAATCCCCGGCAGACAATAAAAGATAAACCAGTAGTTCGTGTTGTTGAGCAGCAGCTTTACCTCGATGTGTTTGGCCTTAAACACGATGCCGTGAGCTCCTTCTCCGATCCGACCCAGGATGCTGTACTGCTCCATGTTCAGGCTGTGAGACACGATGTGAGAGACACAGAGAGGACTGAGGTCTGACTTACTATCATCATTTTGAATTATTTAATGAATACATAAAGTGTTGGCTCTTTCACTGTAGGTTATATAAAGCACTTTGTGTTCACACAGGTTGTGTAAATGATACGTTTTGTTTTTCATCTAATGAGAAGAATGATCCGTAAACACCTCAATAACTAAACTCTTATTAATCTTTCTTTAATCAACAGGGAAACTGGGTCGTTCCAGTTGCTCTTACAGTATAAGCAGCAGAAATATGGTAATAAAAATATAAATATTAATAAAATAAGGAAGATAATACAATAATAATAAGTATATACTTGAGATCGGCGTAGATTACAACCTCAAAAACGCTCCATAATTAAGAAGAATAAACTTTAGAAAAAGGCTTTCCGTGTTAGGAGCTAACAGCTAGCTAACTGTTTGCTAACGTTGCCATGGTAACCTACCAGCGTCTAATTCAACATGTCGACATTTCCCGCTTTAAAACCCGCTCCAGGTGTACGTGACGGACCACGTTAGTCCGACATAAACTACAAACACTGAGAGTTTCGTCTTTTAAACAACACTTACTCGTTCGGCTTTGAATAAACGGGGTTTAAGCTAGCTAAAGGGACGCCAGTGGTCCGCCATGTTTGTTTACAGTGACGTCACGAGACTGGTCCAACTCCAGAACCGAGGCAGATAGAAGAGACTCACCTGTCAGCACATCAGCTTATAAAAGATATAAATGTAACTTATACACGTATGTTTTATTCCTTCTAAAGGTAGGAAGCCCCTGAAGACCCAAAAGGTGAAGACACTTGTCGTTTACACGTCTATCTTTCTAACATCACTGTCGAGTTGTTTTTCCATGTACTCTAATTCTGTGATGCTTGGGTTTTATTTTGAAATCAGGAAGTGCTATCTGACATTTGAGTCTACATCCGGAACAGAGGCTGATGCATGCTAACCTCTGTGATGATATCCACGGATGTATAACGACTGTTTGTGAATCTATAATGACTCAGACACGTTAAACTTCACCTCAGTGGGACACCTCAGTGGGACACCTCAGTGGGACACCTCAGTGGGACACTCGGCGGCGGTTCATCTCTCTAAAGGCGGGAAGCTCTGATCTAAAAAACGAGGTGACGATGTCTCTGCCCGTTCATGCTAATGCTAATGCTAACGTGGACCGGAAGGTGTTGCAGTATGAAAACTTCATTAACGAAGTTCTGAAGAGAGATTTACAGTAAGAGACAAAACAGCTGCTCACTGCAGCACCTTCACATTATAAAGATACATTATAAAGATATATTATATATGTACATTATAAAGATACATTATATAAATACATTATAAAGATATATTATAATATACATTATAAATACACATTATAAAGATACATTATATATGTACATTATAAATACACATTATAAAGATATATTATATATGTACATTATAAATACACATTATAAAGATACATTATAAAGATACATTATATAAATACACATTATAAAGATACATTATATATGTACATTATAAATACACATTATAAAGATATATTATATATGTACATTATAAATACACATTATAAAGATATATTATATATGTACATTATAAATACACATTATAAAGATACATTATATATGTACATTATAAATACACATTATAAATATACATTATAAAGATACATTATATATGTACATTATAAATATACATTATAAAGATACATTATATAAATACATTATAAATACACATTATAAAGATACATTATATATATACATTATAAATACACATTATAAAGATATATTATAAAGATATATTATATATGTACATTATAAAGATATATTATATATGTACATTATAAAGATATATTATAAAGATATATTATATATGTACATTATAAATATATATTATATATGTACATATATAAATATATATTATATATGTACATTATAAAGATATATTATAAAGATATATATATGTACATTATAAAGATATATTATAAAGATATATATATATGTACATTATAAATATATATTATATATGTACATTATAAATACACATTATAAAGATATATTATAAAGATATATTATAAAGATATATTATATATGTACATTATAAATACACATTATAATATACATTATAAAGATATACTATATATGTACATTATAAATACACATTATAAAGATATTTATATATATACATTATAAATACACATTATAAAGATATATTATATATATATTATAAATATACATTATAAATATATTATATATATACATTATAAATATACATAAAATTATATATATATATATCATATATATATACATTATAAATACACATTATAAAGATATATTATATATATATTATAAATATACATTATAAATATTTATATATATACATTATAAATATACATTATAAATATTATTATAATATATCATATATATATACATTATAAATATACATTATAAAGATATATTATATATGTACATTATAAATACACATTATAAAGATATATTATATATATACATTATAAATACACATTATAAATATTATATATATATATAAATATACATTATATATATACATATATATATATTATAATATACATTATAAATATACATTATAAATATATTATATATATACATTATAAATATACATTATAAAATATATTATAATATATCATATATATTACATTATAAATATACATTATAAATATATTATATATATACATTATAAATATATATTATAAATATATATATATTAGGACAGTCAGGATGAAGCTCACCTGGGTTTAACTTACTGAAGGTTTATTGATGTTTTTCTTCCAGAAAGGTGTTGGAGCAGAGGGACTCAGTGTATGAGAAGATCTCTCAGTACCTGCAGCTGAAGAACACCATCCAGACTCTGCAGGTACACACACACACACACACACACACACACACACACACACACACACACACTCTGCAGGTCCACACACACACACACACACACACACTGCTGTTGAGATGAAATAAATTAAATGCTTGGACGGACTTCCTGCTGGAATATGATTTTTAATTTCAGTTACTTTATTTCACGTGTGTGTGTGTGTGGTGTGGGTGTGTGTGTGTGTGTGTGTGTGTGTGTGTGTGTGTGTGTGTGTGTGTGTGTATAGGAGTCGGGCTCTCAGC